CCCCCCAAAAAAAAAACACCTTGGTGATTATGCACTAAGAGAACAGCCTGCTTATCAGAGGAGGAATTCTGTCGCGATTCAGTGTCTATTTTTAAAATGTCCCCACCCCCTCCTCTGAACCCTCGACTTTCTTCGAATCGTATTTGCCAATGATGCCAAAGTTATCGTGATAACAACTTCAACCACATTATCAAGAAGAGAACTCTCGTCCACAGGGCAACAGGGCAGTGTCTTTTTTTACCCCAACAGGAGCGGGCTACAAATAACAACACTGCCATTACACACACGTACACACACATATCACAAGAGTTTCCAACCACAGCAGTGGACAGACACCAGAACTTAACGATCAATATCACATGGCCACTGGGTGTGCTGACAGTCATTTACACAAACTGGCAATCGTAAACCCCTCCAACATGTTGAGACATATAAAATGACACAATAATTGTGGTACATCTGAGACAACGCAGAAAATACTGTTACCCGCAATACGTGATACGTCATCGAATGTTGTAGAAGCTGAACCCCGAACCCTTCACAACACAAGGCGAGATCTCACAATGAAAGGACAGCTACGACTCGCTCTCAACAACGAGACGAGTTGAGACGGAAACTCTCAGGCTGGGTAAAACCTGACAGCGGGAAGAGAAGTCGTAGCCACCAGCGACAACACTACAGCAACGTCATATAGATAAAAAGTTGTTCAAAGTTTTCAGGACAATAAATACGATAAAAAAAGCGAACAACGATCAAGCCAGACCATTTTAATCGACATCGTAAAACAGTTCCTGCTCTCGCCGGTTCTTGATCATGCGCATGATCAAGTTTTGTCTTCCTCACTCCATAAACGTCACCACTACAGCTACTATACCACGGTATCTAACGCAGTATCGTATTGCGGAAAATATGAATGGTTTTACTCGAGAGCGGTCGGTTTCACGAGGGTTCAGGAATGAAGGAATGGATCTAACTGGAGGGAATATGATGAGCGGGTCGGACCTGAGTATGGAGGACAAGGAGGAGAAAACTATTGACCTCCCCTTACACTTCATCCCAGTTTTAGAGCCAACGTTCTGAAGGTAAAGATCCTCACCGCCACCCCTCCCAAACACACACACACACACACACACACACACACACACACACACACACACACACACACACACTTCGACAACACACGTGTGCGCGTACTCATATTCCCAGACTAGTTCATGAAATTGTAAGACTGCATGAAGGGGAAAATGTTAGCGTATATTCACATATCTCAGCGCGTATTAGCGCGTGTGTCGGAGTGCATGTCACGTACTTGAGTTATATAGTCAGATCAAAGTCCATTTGTGGAGTAAGGTGTGTATGAATGGTCGCGGGAAGCTTGTGCCTTCATTTTTGCCTATTCCAACCGAGTCAAGTATGTTAAGAGATAAACTCCAGCCCGCTAATCTTCCGTAAACAGCTCAAGGACCTCTTTCTGCTGGGGTGCACATTCTTTGAGCTTTGCAAATTGTGCTTTGTCAGCAGAAATTTACTGCCTCTCATCTCACTCCCCCCCCCCACTCTCTCTCTCTCTCTCTCTCTCTCTCTCTCTCTCTCTGTCTGTCTCCCCCGCCCTTTCTTCCAATCTCCCTCTTTCATAAAGGTTAAGGAGAAAAAACGGTTATCACTTTTAAGTACTGTGATAAAGACACTTATAATATCTCGTATTTCAGTGCAACGCTCTCCCGCTGGCGCGTCCCCCGAGCACCGTGTCACGTGCTGTCATGTGCAGTGATTACGACCCGTCACCAGAACTGGCAAAAAACGTCGTGCGTGTATCGCCTTCGACATGTTAGCGGTTGTGCGACCAGTCCACGACTTCTACAACTGCTCATGGGCAGTGAACAAGTTAAGCCAGCTCTTCAGCTAAGCATCCAGTCGAAAAAATATTCGGAAACAGACATTTATATAACATGAGCAAGGGGAAAAAAAACATATTTGAGTCACAGTAAAAATCATTTCAGGTAAACAATTAATTGTAAAATCGAACCAGCACAAAAAGGGCTACGTAAAACCCTGCATCAGAAGCTCGAACACGCCGTAATATCACAAGAAGGAAAACTAGAGCACAATTGTCAATGACATGAAACATGAGAAACAAATTGTTTATGCTATACCAGGACTGTGTAACAGGGTGATGTCTTTTCATCTTTCCGCTGTACGCTGTCGCTGGTCCGTGTCGGGGGAGGGAAAAAAGTTCAG